ACTGCCTGCCATGGACGGGGAGCTGCCACAGCTGGGGCACACTGTGTGGTGCCTAAAAAGGACTCAGAGACCTGCAGTGCTTTGTAATTTCCTTACCTGTGGAGTTTGGGTGCTATTATTGCTGTCGGGTCAGTGCCACCCTTCTGCTTGTTCTTTAGGTTTCCTCACTGGCTGTTTCTGGGCACTTTCTTTTTGACTATAATTAGAACTTATTAATGATTAAGGAATAAAAAAAAGGCAATGCCAGGACAGCTCTCTCCCCACTCGCTTAGGGATCCCAGCTGGCTTGTAGCTTTGCAGCTCAATTTGCTTGTACAGTCAATTGCACAATATTCACCTGGTGTTAAGACACCACAGACTGAACCCCAGATCTCCTGCTTTGGTGGAAACAAACCTGTGATTAGAGTCACAGAATCACGGAATTACGGTTGGAAAAGTCCACTAAGATCACATCCAGTCCACCCCCACCACATCCACTAACCCACGTCTCTCTGTGCCACATCTCCACAGTTCTGGAACACCTCCAGGGCTGCTGACTCCATCCCTCCCTGGGCAGCTGTGCCACTGCCTCAGTCTGTGCTGCGCTGTCTCTTCCTGCTGCAGGGAACACAACCTCCTGGGCACCGTGCCTGGCACCTCACCCCGCAGCCCCATCCCTGCAGGAGGACGTGTCCCCACTGGGTGGGCAGGGCAGGGCAGGGCTCGTGTTCTCTCTTCCTGACTCCCTGCAGAGCTGCATGCTTCGGCCCTGTGCTCTGCAGGGTTTGGCTGATGGTGCCGGGGCCAGGTGCTGTGTGAGGGTTACCTTTGGCCCACACAGGGGTGACCGGGGCAGATGTTCAGGTGGAGAACTGCACGGAGTTGTCTCCCAATGTGTCACAGAGACCATTTCAGTGTTTTGGAGGTATCCTTTGCTGTTCTTCCTGTCCAAGCGAACGTAAAATGCTTAGAAGTTTGACCATCGTGACTTCAGAGTCTCTGTTTACCGATAATGTAGTTAATTACTTATGTAACGTGTGCGTGGTATTTTTCCTGGTTAACAGAGGAAGTAGAAGATTTGCTTGGCTGCAGAATATGCAGTGATCCGTAAGGAGAAATGCCACGTAGAAGTAAAGAACTTGTTATTCATTGTTTAGCCCTGAGGAACTAAGAGGTCTGCAAAAAGCAGCCAGATTGATTTCTATAGGAAATATGTCAGGAATTTCTTCGATTCAGTCTTCCATATATCTGATGAAGTGAGAAATGAATTACTTTGTATTTCAGTCACCTATTGCTGAATCATTGGGCTTCAGCTCCCCCCCCCCAAAAGGCCACACTTCTAAACTCTTATGACATACTGGAGATCTGAAGACCATTAGTTGTATTGAAGACATGGCTTCCACAATTCTTTAAGTTAAGAAAACAACTTTCATAAATAAGGCACTTTAATCAGTACAGTATCAAAAATTGTTAATAAAGATAACATTACCTCCCTAGCAAGGGACATAACAGCACCACAACAAAACTAACAGGATATTGGTGGGAAGGTTCAATCAGTACTGCCATCCCACCATCTGCCTCTGACATTGTGGGCCAGCAAAATAAAACAGGAGGCATTGCTTTCAGAGCACCACAGCTAGATCAGGTTGCCCAGGGCCAGGATCTGGGCATCTAAGCTGAATCCACTGTTACATAAAGCAGTAGAAGAGCTGAAGTTAATGGGAAACTTTTTAATGAGTGAGTCCAAATGATGCAATAGGGAACAGCTGTGTTGTTTTTTTTTCTTGACTTTCAAATGTGTGAGAGTTGGTTTTCTCAAAATGAGGCTTTTTTAAAATGTAGTTACTGAGATACAGACAGTTGTGCTTCTGAGTATTTTTCTAGAGGACAGCAAGAATGCTGGTGTTTACAAGATGTTCTCTTATATAAATATTTTTGCTACTCTCTGTTGTTACTGAAACAAACAAGCCAACCTGGCAGACCTGATTCATGCCTGGGGGAGGGTGTGTTTTGTGGATGTTGGTTTTGCAGCTCCTTTTTATAGCCTGGGCTCAGAAGGGAAATGGGAGGAGGGGTAGGATAGCGTGTGGGGACAGAACCAAGAGGGCTGCAGGAAGTGGATGCCCACCCCACAGCTTCCCAAAAGGCTCAGCTGGACAGTGGCAGAGCAGTGGGGTTCTCTTTGTGCATCGAGCTTGGTCTTCCAGCCTGAGAGTGGGTATGCACGTGCTGTTCCCATCTCACAGCAGTGCTCTGGCAGTCCCACTGACACACATATCCACTCCTGCCTAAAGACCTTTTCTGTTTCCACAAAGGCTCAGCCAGTGCCAGCTTTCTGGCTTGCAGGCAGGTGCACCGTGCTTCAGGGCTTCACGGCACTGCTGCTTCGTACTGGAGGTACAGAAATTGACTGCTGCAGGTTCCCATACAGTGAAAGGGCTCGCGGTGCTGCATTGCGTGTTTGGTGGCTTCAGGTCAGCAGTCAGCTTCGTGCTCAGTACTCTGGGGATGTTCCTGTTTGGTGGCTTCTGGGTTGGCTTCTAATGAATGACTTGTTCCATTTTGGTTTTGTTTAATTGCAAAGCATCCAAACGGGATGAAAATTTTTATAGCACTCGGAGATATCAGAAAGGATGCCTTGTTTCTTCATTAGGAACAGCAGAGATACCAAATCTGTCCTGCTGCTGGAAGTCAGCTCAGGGGAGTGGTGTGGAGTTTTGAGTTTCAGAGCTCCATCTTCTTTCTTTTTTATCTGTCTTTAGAACTTTGTGGACTATGTAAACTAACAGAGTGTTACATGAGACTAAACCCAGCTCTGAGCAGCCTGATTTACTGCCCCTTCCTTCACATTTCAGGTTAGTCCACATGAGAATGTGGTAATTACACAGCTATCATCCCATACTTACAGCCAACTTTTAGCTGCTTTATAGACAAAAGTGTGCCTTACTTTTACTTTACGCTTAGACTTGCATAAGGTGGCATGCACAGTCTTAGTGTAACTCAAGAGTGTCCTTTTGCTCAATTTACTTCTCTTTTAACTGGCACAACCTGAAGTGGGGAAAAAAGCTGAATTATGCCTTAGGCTCCTGCAAAACCACTTCCACCAGAATTGGGAGCTTGGTTCTGCTTGCACTCACCTTGTGATTAAGCTGTAAAAGCAGCTGATGCAGATCTTAAGGGTTGCATGGGCAGACCTTGCCTTGGGGAAACTTGCTTGGGAATACAGGCTCACATGACCTGAGGTACGCAGTTGTGACCGGAAAGCCCGAGTTTTCAGCATGAGTCTGGCGGCAGATTCATCCTGCTGAGGATTGTGACCCAGGGCTGCATGTGGTGCCGTCAGTCCTTCCTAAAAGGTCTGCCCTGTTCTGGTCATTTCAGTAAGAATGATTCACTCCAGCGTGGGAATGTGATGTGGTTTCAGTATGATGCTTCCGAGAGCCTCAGGCTGTAAATCACAGAATCACAGAATGGCCAGGGTTGGAAGGGACCTCAAGGATGACCAATCTCCAAACCTCCCTGCCACAGGCAGGGTCACCAACCTCCCCATTTAATACCAGACCAGGCTGCCCAGGGCCCCATCCAACCTGGCCTTGAACACCTCCAGGGACAGAGCATAGGAAGGGTTTCATTTGCCTTTCTCCCACAATCTCCTAAGCTTGCAAACACATCTTCTTCTGGCAGATGTGACCTATGTTTTTAATAACTCTTAATCAGACAGGAATCTACAAGAAAGCCCACTGCCAAATAGAGGTAAGCTGTGAAATTCCTCACCAAACATTTGTTTATGTGTGCTGTCCAGCTGTATTGAACTGTGGTAGCTCCCCATGTGAGTGATGTCAGGCAGGAATCCTGGCACAGCCATTGCGTGCACTTCATGTGTTCGATCAGTGACTTCTGCCACCTCATTTCCTTCCTGTTAGCATTCTTCTGGCAGGGCCTTTTGTCATTATTGTACACAGAACTCTCCCTTGGCTCCTCCATCAGTGTCTTGGCTTGCCTGTCGCCTGCTGGTTTTTACAAAAAACAGAACAACCCAATGCCCTTGTGAGGATGAGAGAAGGTAAAAGGTGGAACTGTTCCTGGTGTCTGTGGAAGAAGAATGCTTGTGAAATTTAGCGAGAAATTCAGTTGTAAAAATGGATGGTTTGCATCTGTATGACGACTTTACCCTTGCACATAAACTATTTGTTCTATGAACATAAATAACACTGAAGTGTTTTTGTCAGACGAAAAAACATATTTTGAAATAATGACAGAAAGTGAGTGTGCTCGAAACCAAATGGGAACTGCAGATGCTCTCCTGCAGTGTCTGTGCTATGTACAGAAATTCTGTGCACGTTCAACTATTCCAGTTGCTAAAACTATTCCAATTTCTCATAAGGAAACATCCCTTCATATTTGCTGCACTTTCAGTTCCAAATACTTGCAGTGTGTTCCTCTGCCACTGACAGTGCTTCACCCGGAGTGGCCTTTGCTATGCAGTCACATTCCCTGTGGCCTCAAACGTTTCCTCTGGGAGAATCACCACAGGAAGTACTTGGTGACTGCAGGCATACCATGGATAATACCGAAAGCCTGGAGATCTCAGGAGGCCTTTTCACATTTGTATTTACTAATGAGTACCATATGATTAGAAATTCTCTCTCTATGTATGCTTTATTTTCTGAGCCTTTGATAAGATCCCTTGTAGCTCTTCTACTACACCCCAGCACCCATCCTGTCAGAGAATAACAAATCAGTGCTGCTGCTTAACTTGCGAATTTACATTGATGCTAGAGTGGAGCTCAGTTGACGTGTGCCCTCTTAGGCAGCAGCAGGCTGGCCTCCAGCGTGTACTGCTCTTGTTTGGTATGTTGGTTACAAACTTCTGGGAGGTAGAAAACCTCCTCCTCTTCACAAGAAGTAAAGGAGATACAGGATATAAATCAGCTGGAAAGCAGAATGCGCTATGCCTCTTCTGTTGTATCTCAAAAATTATCATCTTTCTCAACTCCTGCTTTTGCAATTTTGTTTTGTAGGAATCTGAATTTCTCTGCCTGGAGTTTGATGAGGCCAAGGTGAGCCAGATGCTGAAGAAACTCTCAGAAATAGAGGACAGCATGACTGCATTGACTCAGACCACCTGACTGACAGAAAATAAAGAGATAGCAACTCAAAAAAACAAATGACCTCAGTACTTATTCATAATGCCTGTTCCTGTATATAAAATAGGTAATGATTGTTAAGTATTAGTTATAACTGTACACCACATTCAGAACAAAGGATGGATGAAGTTAAGCTGTAAAGCTCTCTCCAGCCCCTCCTCCAGGCCTGTTCTCCAAGGCAGCAGTGATGTTGCTTGCATAAAGCTTTGCATAATCATCCCTTCGAGTTTAGAGTAGCTTTTCTCTTTTTTTTTTCCTACCCATCAGTTTTTTACTCTTCCAGATGCTGTAAATGCTGCGCCGAGTGAACAGCAAAGGTAAATTGGCCAGTTGTGGCAGGAGAGAAATGAGCAGAAGGAACAGACAGACTAGGGGGATTTGTGTTTATCCTTCCAAACCATGGGCTATGTAGGACAAATCTACCTACGCAAACTCTGCCTGCCTAGAGCTTGGAGCACAGGAGATGAAGTGCAGAGAGTTGAGGGAGAAGAGTCACAGACACACTTTTTTCTAATCACAAGCCTCTGTGCTGCTGAGGATGAAGTAAATGGTTCCCAAGCACGTGAGTTGTACCTGCCGGGCCACTGATGAACACTCACCCCACAGAGAGCCAGGGGGCGGCCATGGCAGCATCTCTTGGGCAGCTCAAGGTGACACTGGTTTCCCCAAAGCCTGATGTAGTGACCTGCTGGCAAGCTTCCAAAGCCACTTCTAGCCTGCTTCCCTGAAGGCTGGCCGCCCCCGTTAGCCTTCCAGCTCCTGAGCCTTACGTGGCACAGCCCTGGCGTGGTGCTGCATGCTGTGTTTGAGAGACCAGTACTTTGTCAGTGCGCAATTTAACTTGGCTGCTCTTTACCATGATGTTTGTCTTGACCTTGAAAACACCCAGGCTAAACCCACAGTTTGTAGTGTGGGTGTGCTCAGCTAGGAATCCTTAGAAGGAAAATGCCCTTGGCAAACGTGCAGATTATAAAGCTCTACTGATAAAATAGTTGTGTGAAGAAAACTTCCAAAGGCAGATAAGATACATACAGAGCATCATGATTGAAACTGAGCTGTGGCTTTTTTGGCTGTTGTGGGAACCTGCCTCTCTCCCTGGCCATAACACAGAACTGCAGTGCAGCCAGGGGGGAATGAGCTGAGATGTTTTGTTTCACATGTTTCAGTTCACAGAGGTTGTCCACTTTGCCACAACAGGAGCATTAACCATAATTACTGCCTTCCCTGTGCAGGATGACATGGAGGAACTGCATGGAGCATGATGGTTCCTACTGGAGAACTGCCTGATAGTCCGTAGAGTAGTGATGGAGCACAACCATGGTGTGCTGCTCTTGTTACTAACAGGAAGGCATGCTCACACATTTGGTTGGAGGCTACGCTGTTTCTTCCTTAGCTTCATAAGCAAACTTCTCCTGAGCAAAAATCATATTGGCTGTCTGTACTAAGCTAGAGATGCTGTAACTAAAGTGCTCCTCGCTGATTCCCCATATGATTTTTTTTGCTTGTAGAGTTGCCAGATTGTACTTGGAAGCACACACTCTTTTCAGAGCAAAGAAAGGGCACGTCTTCCCATCTCCCTGCTCAGGAGGTAAAGCATCACTCAAGCCGATTTGTACCACTGCACTCGGAATTAACATTTGCTTTCCCATGCTTCTGCCCGACCCTTGCAGCCACCTGCTTCTCCCCTCTTTTTGGAACGAGCACACAGCTCCAGCTCTTTACTTTCCCCATTTGGCTGCAGCTGATACTTGTCAGAGTGGAACAGGGGACTGCTGAGCCTGGTCCTCACACCAGTCCCTGGATAATCAGAGGAGTGAAACGCTGAGTGGTTGCTGATTCTTTTGGATTTCTACTTGCCTCTGCTCAATGTTCATTTAATTATTTTTCTGCATTTTAGCACATGCAAAAAAAAAAAAAGAAAAAAAGTCAAGGTCAGGGAAGGATCGTGATCTTAAGTAACTTGCACTGTGTCAAACATACTTATTGTTTTATTTCAACATGGTCAGAGGATAGGAAAATGTGCTATAAATGGAAATTAAAGAGAAACAAACTGGGAACAGATGTCAGGAAGTATTATTTCATACAGAGAATAATAAATACGTGAAATGGCTAACAAGGCAAGGCAAGGCAAGGCAAGGAGGCTGAGGCAAAAAAAGATGGGGTCATTGAGGAAATGATTGGACACTTTCCTAGTAGTGGTAAGATGTTTAAATCGAATCCTTCTCATTTTCTTCTTGGTGGATCTTAGTAAACTACCAGGCAAAAACTAGAAAAAAAAAAAAGCTTAATATTTTTGGGACCACACTGCTCAACCCTTGGTAAGGACACAGAGTCACTGGACAGCAAAATCGTTTCTGCTTCACAAGCTTTGACATGGGCAGGCAGAGGATGCTGTGCTTTCTCAGACTGAGCAAGGAGAACAGATTTCCCCCTTGAGCAGGACTGTGCCTGCTTTCGTCTGAGTGGTGGAGGAGAAGAGGCTTCAGATGCAGCTCTGCTATGCTTCCTTGAGTGAAGGACCACTTGGCTCTTTGTTGGGATGCATGGGCTATTAGCCTGCTATCAGTGATCCTACTAAATATACTGAATGTACTAAATACAAAGCTACGTGCAAGGCTGTCTTGTACCTGGGTCGTGGCAACCCCTGCTATCAGTACAAGCTGGGGATGTAAGGATGGAGCGTAGCCCTGCTGAAAAGAACCTGGAATGCTGGTGGATGGCAAGCAATGTGCCCTCACAGCCCAGAAAGCCAACCAGATCCTGGGCTGCATCCAAAGCAGTGTGGGCAGCAAGATGAGGGGGGTGATCCTGCCCTTCTGCTCTGTGCTGTGAGACCTCATCTGCAGTGCTGCGTCCAGATGGGGTGTCCTCAGCACAGGAGAGACACTGACCTGTTGGAGTGCATCCAGAAGAGGGACACAAAAATGTGTCCCCTACAAGAACAGGCTGAGAGAGCTGGAGCTGTGCAGCCTGGAGAAGAGAGAGAAGGCTCCAGGGAGACCTGAGAGAGCGGCCTTTCAGTATCTAAAGGGGGGCTGTAGGAAGGAAGGGGACAGCCTCTTCACCAGGGCCTGTGTGATAGGACAAGGGGAAATGGTTTCCAACTAAAAGAGAAGAGTTGGACTGGATACAAAGAAGTTGTTTTTATGATAAGGATGGTGTGGCAGGTTGCCCAGAGAGGTGATGGATGCCCCATCCCTGAAGACACCTGAGGTCAGGCCGGATGGGGCTCTGAGCGCCTCATGGAGCTATAGGTGTCCCTGTTCATTGCAGGAGGGTTGGTCTACATGGCCTTTAAAGTCCCTTCCAATTCAAATAATTCTGTGTTTCTGTTATCTTTGCAGTAGTGGCAGTGAAAGCTGGCCACCAGCCCTGTTTCCTGCCCTGTGACTGCCACTCCTGCCCTCCACAACATGCTCAGTGGTTGGGGATAGAGGTCTCCAGCCATACAAAGCCCTGGATGAATTTATCCAGGAAACCTTCCACCTCACTGTGAATGAAATCGGCATTGTCACTGCCCAGAGCAGTCAGTCTGGCCTGTTTCTGCCGGTGCTTTCCTACTGACACAGGTGATGACTCCCAAAAATCATGGTGGATTCACCCCACAGCAAACAAGAGCGGGATGGGGCTGTGGCTGTAGCTCTGGCACCACGTATGATGACCTCAGATGTGCACCTCCAGAGATGCATCTCATCCCAACATCTGCTGCTGCTTTCTGTGGCCTGTAATTAGTGAATGGCAGCCGTGTGTTGTCGCAACCTTCGTCTTGCTCTTCCTTTGATGTCACCCTTTGCATTGCTAATATGCCTTGCAGTTTCTTCAGTCAATCACTTCTTGTTTTCTGGGAATTCCTCCAAGTTGCCACTTGTTTATGATCTGGTGCTCCCCACATTATCTCCCAGTGCCATCGCCTTCAGTCACACATTGCACAATGTGCAAGGCTTACATTTGCTATCTGGTTGCAAAAAGGTTTCTCTGGATGCAATTGTCTTTTTTTTTTCAGTCCATGTATTCCCAGAACTGCTTAATTTATAGAACATTTTTCTGGGCATTTTGAGAGATTTGAGAGATTTTCATTTCTGCACACCGGTCCTTTATATACTTTGTTACCTATCAATAAAATCAATCACCATCTTTCTGAGTATGCTTCTTCGTTTATGTATTGACTGAACATCTGTGGATGTGTAAGTCTCTGAGAAGCTTCGCCTGATGACTCAGCTTGCTCCACATTGGTGGAGGAAATGTTTTCTTCCCCTCCTGGGGAATTTGAATGGTTCGTTTATTCCAAATATTCATTTATTCCAAATATTTACAGAAAGGTGCTCAGTCAGTGCTGGGTACAGACAGTGCCTTTTTAAGACAGCCTGACCAGGGAGGCACAGAGTCCTTTGCAGCAGCCACTGATGTCTGTTTGTGGCACTTTTCATGTGGTTTGTACCTGGAAAAATAGAATTGACTATTATTGACTATTGACTAATAGATGAGTGGACAACTCACTGCTGTGGAACCAGGTCTGTCAAAGTCCCAGGGCTCAGGGTGCTGTTCAGCAAACGCGGAGACCAGGCTGCCAGCTACAAGCTTTGCCTCCCCAAGAAATTGAGGGGTTGAGGGAGCCCCTGCACCACAACTGTCCTGGCTGTAACTTCCTCCTGGTGTAGGCATTCTTGGGAAAGAAAACAAATAGAGAAATGAGAACTGAGGAACCAAGCTGCAAAAGAAAACCTCCTGTTAAGAGGTAAGTCTGGAGATTTGTGGGTGCTGGAAGGTGGTCTAAAAAATTGGGGGAAAGCCATCTTGTGCCCTTGTCCTCAGCAGAGTCCTGGGGGAAGTTTTCCCTATGATCAAAACCCCAAACGCCTTGTCCTTCCTCCGTGATTTTAGTGGTAGCAAAGATCTTGAAATGTGAGAAATTGCAGGAAAACAGGTTTAAAAGGATGTCAGGAGAGCCTGCCTGGAGCATCCTGCAGGTAGCTGTTAACTTTACTGAAGCAAGCAAAGCATGCCCGGGGCTGCCTCCTTGGGGAGACCACCATAATGCTGAGCTGCTCCACAGCCAGAGGACATTGCCCAACAGGGAGCTACAAGGTGTTTATCCAAAGACATTTCCATGTCTCTTACCTCCTTGGAGTGCAAGTAACTTGGAATTTGTGTTTTAATTCACTTAGCAGCCAGCCATGCTGAAACTCCAGCACTCAGCTGCTAGCTTTCATCAGGAGATAGTTCTGGAGAACATGCAAGCCCAGATAATTGAATAAATGGCATTTTTGGATGCTGGCGAGCATCTTGGACCTTTCAGGAGCAAAGTCTTGCAAATGTGGTTAGGGAGAAAAGTAGCAGTCACAGCACAAATCCCAAAGCCACAGCTCTAAGCAGAGCCCCAGAGGAAACAGTCCTCATTCAAGTTTGATTATATGTCATTTTTCTGCCATATTTTCTGTGCCTTCCAGCCAGCTGGCAGCCCTGGCCAAACACAGCATTACCAGGAAATTGTACAGTGCATTTTTGCAATAAGTGGCACACTTCCTGTCCTGTAACAGAGCGCACAATAAGCGAGTTTCCTATGATGAAAATCAATGGCAGCCATGAGAAGACAAATCAGAAACGCAGGGGCAGGGCTCAGGCAACCTGTCTTCCAGGCCTGAAAGTACCAGCCACAGCCATTGTGCAGTGGCGAGGCACATGGCAAGCAACCTTCCCTCCAGCATGGCACTGCCAGGCTGCCCTCTGGCACTTCTCGTGGGGTTCCCAGCAAAGTCATTAAACACTCATACCACAAACACTCCTGCTACACCTCTGGCCCACATGCAAGGTGATGGATGTTGCCTGATATTTTTACCTGACTAAGCTGGGTTGGGGTGCTTGCTGGAGGATGTTTGGTCCCATGCTGGGTTGTTGGCCACTCCATGGATCTTCCAGCTATGCATAAGGGTCTTCATTGAGTCTTTGTAGCATCTCTCTGGCAGCAGCAGCAGAAATTAAGCCATGATAAAAGCCATGATAAAAGGAAACAGCAGGCTTGTGCAGAGAGAGGAGTGCATTTGACTACAGCTACCTCAGAGCTCTGCCTGCACCTCCAGACACAGCAGCCATCCCACCACCCTGCACCAAGTATCTGGTGAGCCCTGGCCTCCTCCCAGCATCTTCTAAAGTACAGTTCTACAGTACTGCAGAACCTCAGGGCAAATCTACATTTCTTTTAAAGCTGAGGAGCATGGTGCATAAAGCTAATTACCCCCCCACTGCAATATCCTGCGAGGCAATGACGTGCACAAGTGCTAAGTTAAAAACCACCATCCAGAAGCAGTGGCTGGGAACCATAAATACCATTCGAGTAGTCCTTAGGCACATTAGGAGATGAGCAACCAAAGCAACTGGAATATATAAAGCTATGTAATTAATTTTTCTCTGCGGAGAGAAACATTCCCATGCTCCAGCCTTGGACAGCCGAGCTCCTTTTTATAAATAATGTTATGTAAGTTTATATGTTTCAATTAGTGCTTGTTCTAGCTTCTCGCAGCCTGAGGAGTTTTTCACCCCAGTTCATCATTTAGGCTGTGGATAGATCATTTTGCCTCAATGCATCTATAAGGCTATTTAAATTAAGATGCTTGTAAGCAGCATAACAGTAATGAAACGCTCTCTGGAAAGCATTGGCACATCCCCAGTGAGAGAAAGCAAGAAATGAGCTTTCCTGTTGGCTGTGGCCGACAACATGTCTGCACGCTCCTCTGCAGGGCCAGAGCTGCATTTCTCTGCCCGTGGACACCACGACACCGCCAGTGATGTGCTGCAATGGCTGTTTGTGGCAGGGCAGGAACATCTCCGAGTTGTCCTACAGCCTGGTTACTACAGCGTGCTGCAGTGTGAGCCGGCAGGAATGCTTAAACCCTCTGGCTTAATCCCCAGCCATTGCAAATTACTACAGCCCCATTAACTTCAGAAGACTGTTTACATGGGAAAGGTTAAATACATACGGGATCAAGCACAAAACCTGCAGTGATTTCATACATGAGACAGTGTACTAATTTACTAATTTATGTGGCCAGATCTCATCTGTGCTGTGCGCTGGCTCCTAAACTTCTATTTATTTATACACACCCACGTCAGAGGGATTTCTCCACAGAGCTGCAAGAAGAAAACACTGTATTTACTTTGATGACATTGCTGATCTCAGTCCCTACGTACATCTTCCATTTATCTTCCCTATGTCTTCATTTTTCATTAACCTGTGTGAGCTGTGAGGCTGGATATTAATATGAGATGTGTGGATTATTTCGTTTCCCCTCGCCCTGTTTTTTGTTTTTATTATTGCTGAGGTTCATCAGTGAGTTCTACGATAGCAAGATGAGAGCTTTCCGATAGCTCTGGTGTGTGTGCACACTGCCGCAGAAGAAAGGCCATGTTTTTGTGTACTCCTCCAAACTGCCCTCACCAAAGGTGGGGAGGGGTTGGGGCTGACACAGCTGGACACCTCTGCTCACTGTGCACCCTCGCCTTGACTCACTCTGAGCTCTGGGAGCCCCATGAAGGATGCTGGGGACAGCATCCTGTACCCCAGCAGTACCATGTGCCTCTGCTTGCTGCTGTGAGCCTGAGGCATGGGCACTGACTGCGCAGGCAACGCAGCAATGCGACAAGGCAAGTAGCCTGTGGCCTCCAGCAAAGGCTTTATGAGCACAAACCCAGGGAAACCAGTTACAGGGAATCCACAGGGTCTGGTGATGGGTGCGGGGCAGGAATTTCCCAGCCAGAGCTACAGGACTGAAACCATGACTTGCAACTGCTGCTTTGCCAGGGTTCCCAGGGAGCTGGCATAGTGAGGATGCCCTGGACTTCCTTTGGGATCAAGCATGATGAGTGCCTCTGAGGGAGCTTCAGAACAGCCCAGTTTCTCTCCATCTCGCCGGGGATGTTCCAGTCCCAGCCTGGTGGTGAAACGCCTGCTGTGCCCTGCATGGCTGTGGGCTGGGTGAAACGTCACTCCTGTCATGGCTGCAAGTTCTTTGCCAAACCTTTGGGAGTGTCTTTAGAAACTTCCTGCACATGGTGTTGGCTTGGTCTCCTCTGCTTACTGGCAGGCTCTCACACTGCCCAGGCAACAGCCAGCTTGGATGTCAGCACCTGTCCCACAAAATGAATGGCTTTAACTGGAGTTAGGTTACCCAAGCTGGCTCTGAGAGTCCAAGGGAAGTCATGTAGCAGAGCCTCATCAAGGAGGGGCCTGAAGTCAAGATGTTTCAAAATCTGTTATATATGAGGACTGGCAGCATTCCTGCAGCTGGGAGTTTACTGGTGCTTCAAACTATATCTGCAAAAAAAATAAAAACAAAATGGAAGAGGTTCAGCTGAATCTGCTCCAGTACATGTGTTCCTGAGTTTTCTCACCAGTGAAGAGACTATGCTGCTTGGCAGATTTCAGGTTTGCAGCTCTTCATCTTGCACAAAATGCTGTGGGATGCCTCTGATGCAAGGCAAGGAGAGGGATAAAATGTTCACAATTCCAGGACAGGGAAAAAAAAAACAAACAACGTTTTGTACATATTTTTGTTGTTTGCAAGATAATTATTGCCCAGTTTCTACTGATACAGAAGATGAACTTCAAGTAGATTCTTCCTTGTCCCATTGAGTACACTGCTGTAGGAGGAGCTTCACTGGGAGGAAAACATGGTTAGTTCCTGCAGTCTTTACCTGCAAAAGGCAGCTATGTCCTTCTAGAGCATTTACTTGAATCCAAGTAGCTCAGGGAGTAACTATTCTATGGAAATGTGAATCAGTGCAAGTACGACATAGCTCTGCCCACAGCTTGCAAGTGGCAGAAGGCAACATAGCAGGGATAAGTTTCATTCCACTATTGCTCTTCTGCTCTGGTTTGCCTGTGAGAGCAAGCTGCAGTGCTAACTAGTGGTGCTGCAGGAGATGTGGATGGATGTGAGAATCTTTCGAATTTGAGTGGCTGAGTGTAAACACTCAGGATCTTGAGTTCATAGAATCATTAAGACTGGCAAAGACCTCTAAGATCATCATGTCCAAACATCAACCCATCCCCACCATGCTCACCAGCCCCTATCCCTCAGTGCCACATCTCCTCACAGTGACTCCACCACCTCCCTGGCAGCTGTGCCAATACCTCAGCG